GGGGGGTCGGGCTCTGCTGCCTGTCCAAAGGAAAAGGAGAGGAAATGGCCTCAAATGGCACCAGAGGAGGTTCAGAATTCAGATTAGGAACATTTTTTTTCCCTCGCAGAGTGGTCAGGCCTTGGGCTGAGCTGCCCAGGGAGGTTTGGAGTCACTGGAATTGTCCAGAGCAGTCTGGATGTGGCCCTTGGGGACAGGGATTGGGGTGATGCTGGTGGGGCTGGGGTGGCACTGAGTGATCCTGGAGGGCTCCTCCAGCCCTGGTGATTCTGGGATTCTTGTCCAGACAAGGCAGGTGAAGAAGTGTTGTACAAAGCACCAGGAGTTCTCCCACTGATGTTGAGATCTCAGAGCAGATTTAGCTGAGGATTGGTGCTCATTTATTGCCTTCCTTTTTCCTTCCTTGGAGGAGCTCATATTTGGGGTTTAAAGCATCTGACTAACCAGATTTTCCCTCTCTAATGTTTCAGAGGTTAGCAATGGATCCTCGCTGCAAAGGAATGCCACTGTCAAGTTTTCTACTGAAGCCTATGCAACGGGTAACCAGATACCCACTAATCATCAAAAATGTACGTTCCTCTGCACACCTGCTGGGTTTGGTGCTGCTTTGCTTACACCTTAATTACAGGGTTGTTTCCTTATTTGTGTTAGGGTTTGTCACTGGGAGGTTTCTGATGTGCTGGGGAATGTGGGATGTGTCCTTTAATACTCAATTCCAGTATAGAAAATGGGATCACTCCTTGGGCTTTGGCAAAGTTATTCCATATTTCCATTTGAAACAGAGCTGAAGCTTGCACCCAAAGAACCAGAAGGCAGTGAGTGCTGAGGGAAAATTTAAAATTCAGATAACAGGAGCAACAAGACAACCTTGTGCTCATATTTGCCTTTCCCCTCAGTGCCATTCCCTCCCCAGGGGCTGAGCCTGCATTGCTGCAGGTTCCCCCTGTGCTGATGCTGCTGGAGGTTTTACAGCCCTTTCCTAACACTCCTACTTCTTGCTTAATGTTTCCCATCCCAAATAACACCATGGAGCATGGCCCAAGGCTGTCACAGGGGATTATGAATTGGATGTTGGCATTTAGGGATTCCTTCAGCAGTTGTGGCTCCATTTCTGTCAGAGGAGCCAGCAGTGTCCTGGCACAAAGGCTGTGCAGGCAGGCCTGCAGTCCAGCTGTTCCCAAAGAGTGTTTGCCTCCCATTTCTCCCATCTGTCAAGGAGGAAAATAAACGTGGGGCTGGCTG